AGTGATGGCACCATGTCCAACTTCCCTCTTCTAAAAAGACAGCTCCTTTCTTCCCTGGCGGTAAGACAATGAACCGGAAACGCCGTCCAAGCTCCCTCCCTTCACCCTGGGGTGGATGGGTTCCAGGTGACATTTTTAAAGAGCCTGTCTGTTGATAACCATTTTTAAAAAAATGGGGAGCCTGATTAACTGTGAAACTAGAAAAACGAGAAGGGTGATGCGGTCAGCAGGGCAAGGTTGAATAACCGGCTGCACTCAGCTGGGTGGGGCCAGGAGGAACCCACAGGTGGCCTGGGAACTGTTAGAATGGCCCCTCCCACCCCTCGCTGGAGCAGCTGGCTTCCCTTCCTGGGCTTGGCCGTCCCCCCTGGGTTCCCCAGACCTGGTGGAACATCCTAGAAGGAGAGGGAGGCTGCCATGTGGGCCAGTCGTGGGCATCCCCTTGTAACCCTGAACTCAGTCATGTGGCATGCCTGGGCGCGATGTCCTTGCGCCACAGCAGAGGCACACAGAGATGACATTGAAGCCCGTGACACTGAAGCTGGCACGCTCCCTGTGGGCACAGCGGCCCCAGCACTACGGGGATCCCAGCGATCAAACCCCTTGGCAAAACACACCAGAGCTGGGACTGGCACCTAGGGGCACCTTCCCATGTACCCATCTCTCCTAGGCGGCCCCCTTCCAGATGCTGCCAACAACCAGGATGGGGACCCGGGGGCTACCTAGGGTCATGCTCCAGGCCCTGCCTCCCTGGGTGTCAGCTGTCACTCTGCACAGTGGCCACAGTTGGCACAATTACAGCTGCCCAGGAACCCCGCTCCTGCTGACCACAGCAGCCTCTGTCAGGGAGACCTGTGACAAAAAGTTTTTCTCTGTCACTAAGGTGGGGCTGCCGGAGTCCAGGAGGCCATGTGGCCTTTCCCCTGCATCTCTTAAAAAAATATACATGGTACAGCCCAGGTCAGACATAGTACAGCCTAGGTCCCATGTGGGTACTGGGTTCCAAGAACTTGGGCCATGCTCCACTGCCTTCCTGGACCATTAACAGGGAGATGGGTCAGAAGGTGGAGCAGCCAGAACTTGAACCAGCACCCAAATGGGATGCCAGTGTGGCAGACAGAGGCTTTACCTGCTATGCCATGGTGCCAGCCTCTTCAGAATGCAGCAGATTTAGAATATTACTGCAAATGCCCATACAGCTGCTTCTGATTCCAGTCTCTCTGTGTGGCTGTGCCTGTCTCCCCATCCTCCTCCCGTCTCATCAGTAGAGGATGTGAAGTTGTTGGCTGGAGCTGAGGAGCAGCCATTGTCCTTGGCATCTAGCCCCTGGGAGAGTGAGGACTGGCAGCCCCTGGCTGGGAATAGAATAACGGGCAGAAATTTTTGGCCGTCTCATGTCACTCAAGCCTGGCATATGTCATCCCTTGGGGACCCCACAGTTGGGTGGGGCTGGCTTTACAGGGTTCACAGTGCAGCAGGCACCAGGTTCAAGGGCCAGGAAGGATTCCTCCCCACCTATTGCTGTTGGCAGTTTGTCTGGGAGGACACAGCCCACCCGGGGTCAGGCTGCCCAGGCCCTGACCCCGTACCTCTTGATTGCTGTTAACGTGACTCACGGGGGAGTCAGTTTGCACGCCCACAGACAGCAGGGAAGGGGAGACTGCCCACGGTTCTGCATGAGGATTCATATGTCAGGGTACCAGGGCAAGGCGGTGACAGCCAGGCAGGCCTGGAAGGACTTGGGAGGGGGGAGATGGGGCAGGTGGAGGCAAGTCGAGTGTGACTGCCACTCACTGGAGGCTTGGGGAGACATCTGCTGAGCCCAGGTGGCAATGACAATGAAGCCATCTATTTGGTATTTGATGTATTTATTTATTTATTTGTCCAGCCTGTTCGGGCCAGGGTATTAGCTCAGTTGGCTAATCCTCCCCTTGGAAACACTGGGAAACACATATGGGTCCTGGTTCATGTCTGAGCTGCTCCACTTCCCATCCAACTCCCTGCTTCTGACCTGGGAAAGCAGCAGAGGACGGCCCGAAGCCTTGGGCCCTGCACCCACATGGGAGACCCAGAAAAGTTCTAGGCTCCTGACTTCAGATCAGCTCGGCTTCAGCTGCTGTGGCCATCTGGGAAGTGGACCAGCAGCTGAAAGATCTTTCTGTAAATCTGCCTTTCAAAGGAAAAAACTCTTATTTTTTTTCCCTTTTTCTTGCGAGATGGACAGAGAGAGATCTTCTCTGTGTTAGTTCACTCTTCAAATACCCACAACAGCCAGGGATGGACCGGATGGAAGCCAGCAGCCTGGAACTCCATCCAGGTCTCCCACATGGGTGGCAGGGGCCCAAGCACTTGAGCTGTCACCTACTGTCTCCCAGGGTGCACATCAGCAGGGAACTGGAGAGGAAGCAGAGCTGGGACTCGAATCCAGATACTGCGATGGGACATGCTGGAGTCCCAAGAACACACACTTCAGCCCTGCTGCTCTGCGGAATGAGAGCCCTAGGGCCCCATTTGACAGAAAGGGACCCGAGGCCCAGGGGCGGCCTCCAGGGTTCAGCAGTGCCAGACTCAGCGATGTGGGGCGTTGGGAAGCACAGCTGCCCGCCTCTGGGTGAAGTCCACATCCTACCTGCTTCGTCACGCACACACCTGTGCTCTTCCTGCATGCCCAGCGGTGGGGGGAGCCTCTACACCTCATTGCCGTGCCCTGCCCCAGCCACCCAGCCCTCACACAGAGCGCGGGGTCCCAGGCGGAGCCAGGGGAGCTCAAGGTCCCTGGCAGCAGCTTGGGGGTGTCAGCTGTTGTATGGGGTGCCTGCAGGTTAGGGGGTGGTCAGGGTTCACAGAGGAGGGAATGGAAAGGCCAGTTAGTTTTGGTGGCCCCAGTTTTGGAAATCTATGCATGGGTTAAAACGCTGTCTCTCACATGCACTATTTCAACAGCCCCTAGACACGTGCGTTTTGCAATTTGGGGCACTGACATAAACTTGCCATTCCAGTCCCCCCTCCCACACCCCTGTTGAGGTTCCCTTCTATTATGACTCACCAGGTCAGTGGGGGGGCAGGGCGTGGATACCTCCATATTAGGATGACTCTGCCCCAGAGGTGAATGGGACCTGCAGTGTGGAAGGGAGCTGTTCAAAGCCCTCCTTGCTGCCCTGCGGTGGTCAGTGCTGTAACCCCATGTGCTTGATGCTCTGACAGCCACTGGGGGTGCCCCAGGCTGAGGTCCTTCTGCCTCCAGGGCAGCATCCACCCACTTGGCTCTAGCCTGGGTGCTCAGGGAGACCTGGCAAGATCGTCCCTTTTCTCCTGGCTGGCTGCTCCATCAAGAATGCTCTGCCTCGTGGGTCTTCTTTTTTTTTTTTTTAAGCTTTTTAATTAATTTTTACTGGAAAGACAGATACACAGAGAGAAGAATCTTCTGTCTGCTAGTTAACTCCTCAAGTGGCCTCAATGGTTGGAGCTGAGCCAATCCCAAGCCAGGAGTCTTCCAAGTCTTCTTCCAAGTCTGCCACGCAGGTGCAGTATGCCAAGGCTTTGGGCTGTCCTCAACTGGTTTCCCAGGCCACAGGCACAGAGCTCGATGGGAAATGGAAAAACCAGGATATGATTCACTACCCATATGAGAGGTCAGTGCGTGCAGGACAAGGATTTAGCTACTGTGCCAGGCCCCCGTGTGAGTTTCAGTAAGTTTCTTTCTCCCAGCCTGCCTTCTTCAGGAAGCTATATGGCTGTGTGGCCCAAACAGTAGCTGGCAGCCCCACATGGACACTCAGACGAATGAGCGTTAAATAACATCACAGCTTCGCAGTCACGGATCCTGCCTTTTCCACCAGAGGGCGCCACTGTCATGTAGCTGTGAAGCCTCAGCCTCCAGGGAGTGCCGGGGCTCACCTCCCATCCCCAGCTCCTCTCTCCAGCTTCCTGCTAAGACAGTGACTTAAGATGCCTTAAATGATTGGGTTCCTGACACCCACAGGAGATGCCTGGATTGAATTGCCAGTCCCAGCTCTTAGTTCAGCCCAGTCCCAGCTGTTGCAGGCATTTGGGGAGGGAAGCAGCAGATGAGATGTCTCTGTCAACCCTGTCTTTCTCTGTCTTTCAAATTAATGTTTTTTGTTTTCTTTTTTAAAAAAAAATTATTTATTTTTATTTGAAAGTCAGATATACAGAGAGGAAGAGAGACAGAGGAAGCTCTTTTGTCGAGTGGTTCACTCCCCAAACAGCCCCAACGGCCGGAGCTGAGCCAATCCGAAGCCAGGAGCCAGGAGCTCTTCCCAGTCTCCCACGCAGGTGCAGGGTCCCAAGGCTTTGGGCCATCCTTGACTGCCTTCTGAGGCCACAAGCAGAGAGGTGGATGGAAAGCTGGGCCGCTGGGATATGAACCAGCACTCAAATGGAATCCCGGCACATGCAGAGCGAGGACTTTAGCCGCTAGGCTATCACACGGAGCCTTCAAATTAATGTTTTTAAAGATTTATTTGAGAGGCAGTGTTGTGACATAGCACGTTAATCCTCCACCTGGGATACTGTCATCCCTTATCAGTTTGCGTCTTATCCGCTACTTCTAGTCCCACTCCCTGATAATGTGCCGAGGAAATCAGAGGAAGATGGCCCTAGTACTTGGGTACCTGAACCCACATAGGAGAGTCTCATTTCTTTCTTTCTTTGAAAGGAGGAGTTACAGAGAGGGCTCCCATCTTCTTTCCCCTGATTCACCCCCCCAGGTGGCTGCAATGGCTGGGTCTGGGACCAGGCAGGAGCCAGGAGCCTGTAGCTTCGACAGGTCTTGCAGTGACATTGGCTTCACCTGAAACCCAGTGCTCCCCTGATCTGCTTGATGCAAAGGCTTGTGGGAACAGCTCTGCCTCCCTGCACCCCCCTACCCTGTCACAGCCTCCCTCGTGCATCCAGGGTCCCTCCACACTCACACCCTAGTCCTCAGTACAACACCATCCCGGCTAGCATCCGAATCTCTCTTCTTGTTTTATCCCCAGACTGCCTCGGGTCCCCCGTGTTCACTCCTATCAAGGCGGACATCAGTGGCAACATCACGGTGCGTCCCGGGCCCACGAGAGGGGAGAGAGGAGGGAACCCAGACACTGGACCAAGCCCCAGGCTCAGGCCTCTCAGGGTGGTGGCACCATCAAGGCCTGCCCCTTCCCTGAATACCAGCTGCATGCTTGAGTCCTGGGCACCACTGCCCTGCCCTCCCCCTAGCCAGCCCAGGCTGGGGCTAAACTGCCCCATCTCCATAATGCTGGCTTGGCTGGCAGCCCATTTTACAGATGAGGAAGCTGAGGCTGTGGAGGCCACGCAGCCAGTGACTCCTCCCCACCACCCGCATGTCTAACTCGGAGACCTGTGTCCCTGGGTCCCTCTGCACTCCAGCAGTCCACATGCCCTTGTCCACCGAAAGCAAACCACTAGTATCTGGGCGGTGGCGGCAGACCAGGCAGTGGGGGTTGACCTTGGGGACCTAATGTTGGCTCTGTGACCCTGGGTTCAGCATTGCCCCTCCCTGATCCTCCATGTGTCCTCACTCATGAACTGTGGGCTGCTGGCGGCATTCCTGCTACGATGAACCCTGTCCCTGTTCGGGGGCAGGGGGAAGGGTATTCCACCCAGACCTGCACTTTTGAGGTGACCCTGTGTGCTCCATTCCAGAAAATCAAGGCCGTCTATGACACCGACCCCACCAAGTTCCGCACCCTGCAGAACATCCTGGAGGTGGAGAAGGAGATGTACGGAGCCGAGTGGCCCAAAGTGGGCGCCACACTGGCGCTAATGTGGCTGAAAAGGTGATGGGCTCTGGGGCAGCTGCACCCTGGGGGTGGGGAGGTGGGCGCTGGGCAGACAAGGAGAGCGGCCCCTGGGACGCAGAACTAGCGTGCACCTCTCCCACCACTGCTGCTGCTACTGTGCTCACGTCCTCTCTGCGCCTGACAGAGTTGTCACCTCTGAGAGCTGCGGGTGGTGACTCTGCCTGTCTCACAGGTCAGGCCACGGGGGCTTCTGGAAGCCAGCTCATGGGCCCATGGCATTCAGGCACAGTTGTGCAGGTTGTACATTGCACAGATGCATCTGGCGTGTTGCTCAGGAGCGAGGCTGGTGGGGGCATTCCTATCAGTTAAGTGATTCGTGTCCAGATTGGACGTGGGCAGAGGCAGACAGTGCCATGGCTTGTGCTGGCCACCAATGACCGGCAGCAGCTGGGGAGAGGAGCACCTGCCGTGTGGCCCAAGGCATGGCTCAGTGGCTTCTCTCAGGGCATTGCTACTCAGACACTGTCAGAACTAAAGCAAAGGCAGCATGGAGGGTTTTCTGGAGGAAGGGTGCCGAACAGGCCAGGACTGAGCTGAACAGGGCAGGGCAAGGGCAGGAGAGGCACAAATCATCTACTGCTCCTAGGTCTGGTCCAGCTGGGGTTCCAGCTGTGAGGCAGGAGCCAGGAGAGCCCTGCTGGGGAGTCTCAGGGAGTCAGGAGCTAGAAGTACGATCAGAAGTGGCTGGGGCAGACCCATCCTCACTGCTGATTTGCTGGAGCTGGGACAGAGAGGCCTGGGAGTGGCTCTGGCCAGGCAAGGCAGGATCCAGCCCCATTCCCCACACTGACCCCTGCTGGACAATGGCTGTGATGCAAGTGCAGGACCGGCACCTGCTCCAGGACGAGGCTGGGGACTCCTTGGTCCTGAGGCCCAGCCCTCCTGCCTCAAGGGCCCCCGTTGCCTAGAAGAACAGAGCAGCCTACCCGGGCTTCCCCTACACCTCCCATCTCCCACGGTAGGGGACAGTGTAGGCAGGAGCTGGGCCAAGTGACCGAGCCTTTTGGAGGTGCCTCATGGCCCTCCTCCATGAAATGGGCTCATGGGGCTACTGCCCCCTCCATCAGGCTCACCATACCCCCAAGCGAGGGCTTGCGCAGCCCCTGGAGGCAGTTGCTGTGGACAGAGCCAGGCAGAGGTTTGGGGAACAGGGCCACCATGCAGGACTAGGTGCAGAAACAGTGCAGCACGTAGAGGCATGGAGCCTGGGTGGGCAAGTGCCAGGTCCGATCACCTGCCTGGTGCCTCCAGGGCCTGTGGCCCCATGCTGGCCCATGCTGTGGCCTCCAGCACCACCTGCCTGTGGGAGGATGCATCAGGCCTATCCTTGGATCCATCTGGGCCCTGCTCACGGCCAGCATGCCGGACAAGAGGAGTGAGGGCAGGGGGATGCTGGCAGCAGGTGCACACAAGCCGCCTGCCGCAGGTGCTAAGAACCTTCTGTCTCTGGACCACAGAGGCCTCCGCTTCATCCAGGTCTTCCTGCAGAGCATCTGCGACGGGGAGCGTGACGAGAACCACCCCAACCTCATCCGCGTCAACGCCACCAAGGCCTACGAGCTGGCCCTCAAGAAGTACCACGGCTGGATCGTGCAGAAGATCTTCCAGGTGGGCACGCCTTCCCTCCAACTCCCATGGCTCTGCAGCCTCGGAGTCCCCTCTGTCCCACGCCTGGGGAGACCTCTGGTGAGCTGACCGCCCCACCCCACCCAGAGGGTGATCTGGCAGCCTGCTATGTGCCCCTGAGCTTGGGTCACCTCACTACAGCTGTGAGGCGACGATAGCCTGAGGTCCCCCACAGTGCTTGGCTTGTCCTGCTCAGGCCTTACGGGTGTCCCTGGCGACTGCCCCTGCAAGTGTGGCTGAGCATGGGCGCAGGCTGGCAGTGAGAATTCCACAGGTACCCTCAGGTCCAGCACAAGTATAGGGGAGGGAGGATGGGATGAAGGGGCATCTGTGGCAAGGACCCTGGCCTGCGGGCTTCTGGGTGGCATGTGTATGTGAGGCTGATGGTAGCTGGGGACTGGAACAGGCGATGCCACCTCCCCGCACCCCGACAGGTGCACATCACCTGCCCCTGCTCACTGCCTGGAGAGCCAGGCTCTGATGGGCTCATCTCGTCCCCAGGGGTCCACCCCATCCCTGGTGGACACCTTGATAGTCCTCCTTCCTCCTGTGCCTTGCAGGCCTCACTGCTGCCACCCCCAGACCACTGTGTCCCCCACCCCACTTCCCAGAGGAGCCCAGGCAGGCTAAGTAAACATCTGGCTCAAGTCCCCGAGGATGGAAATGGGGAGCTAGGATTATCTCTCCTGCAGCCTCAGTACCCTCATCTTTGAAATGGGTACAAAGTAGGCCTCTCTAGAGGGTCCCTGGGAAGGGTGAGTTAATATGTACTCCTGTGGTCGAGGCTCGTGGCTCACACTCAGCTGTCATCCATTATTCCTTAAGGGTTTTTTGTGTGTTTTTAAAGTTTTATTATTTGATGAAAGGCAGATTTACACAGAGAAGGAGAGACAGAAAGATCTTCCATCCACTGGTTCACTCCCCAAATGACCACAATAGCCAGAGCTGGACCAGTCCAAAGCCGGGAGCCAGCAGCTTCCTCCAGGTCTCCCATGCAGGTACAGAGTCCCAAGGCTTTGGACCATCCTCTACTGCTTGCCAGGCCTATTAAGCAGGGAGCTGGATTGGAGGTGGAGCAGCTGGGACTTGAACTTGCGCCCATGTGTGATCCTGATGACACAGGCAGCTTTACCCACTGTACCACGATGGCTGGGCCTCATCTCCTTCATTATGAACCTTGATATCTGCCCTTTCTTCCTCCTGTCAGACTTGGAGCTGAAGTCCTGTGTCTGGTTGGTTGTATGTCCCCTCCCCTCCCCACCAGCCCTGACTCCAAAATTATGTAAACTTCCAGCTCTGTGCACCTGCCAAGTGTCAGGGATGCCCTAAAATGTAGGAGGTGTCCCTCACCTCTACCCCACCCCCCAAGGACGTATCACAAAGTGGGTTTTCTGAGGAGCCACCCACCAAGGAGACGCCTGTGCTGTGTGCTTGGAGCCGCCCCTGCCCCTTTTGGTGACGACCTGAACCCTGCCCTGACAAGGCAGGCTGGTCCGTGGGAGATCTCTACCACCACCACACCCATTTTACAGATGGGGAGACCGAGGCTGTGCCTGAAAGGAGCGTTCTTCCTGCCCTCCAGGGAGAAGGGGGGACGCACCTCTCTCTTCCTGGCTGTCAGACCCCTGCACAGCACCGACCCCCTCCTCCCCGCCCCCTGCCTTGCGCTAACACCAAACCGCCGCCCCTCTCGCCCACCCCCAAGGCAGCGCTGTACGCGGCCCCCTACAAGTCCGACTTCCTGAAGGCGCTGTCCAAGGGGCAGAACGTCACGGAGGAGGAATGCTTGGAGAAGATCCGCCTCTTCCTTGTCAACTACACGGCCACCATCGACGTCATCTACGAGATGTACACCAAGATGAACGCGGAGCTCAGCTACAAGGTGTAGTGCGTGTCGCCGCCCCCAGCACTGTGAAGTCCGCCGCACCGCGCGGCCCCGACCGGCTAGCAGCCTGGAGCGGCCCCGTGGGCCGCAGGGGACAGCCTGGTCGTCGTCTTCTTCTTTTTCTTCTTCTTTTTTTTTTATGTCAACTAATGGAGCAATACATAACCGCCCCTACTGCCAGGTCTTCCCAGCAGCGGACTTGGCCCCACCCGTCGCTCAGCATGTGTGAGAGCCAGGCCTAGGCCCGAGGGGTTGAGTTCCGGGTGCCCCCTGCCAGCCCCCCCAGCACAGGTCCTGGATGGGGGGTGGAGGGGCGGGCACAATGAAGTCACACCCCAAGGAAGAGCATGGGTGGTCGCCAAGGGCGCGTGCACCCTGAGCTCCCAGCCAGCTGGCTGCCTCGACCCAGATGGCTCTTGTGTTGGGTTCGGTTTTATTCCGTTTGTGTTTTGTAAGAGCTGAAAAACAGCCAGCAAGGCTCGGGCTGCTGCCGGCCACCCTACCGCCGGGCACACCCTGCCGTTCCAGGGGACGGTCCATCTTCTTCAGGGACACTTCTCTCCCCCCTCCCCAGGAAGCCACCAACCTTGTGCACTTTCTCTGCAGGGAGGTGGGAAGACAGAATTGAACCTGTCCCCTCCCCCCCAAAAAAAAACTGTGGGGACCCAAGATGCCGCCTCACTGCCTTACCTGTCCTCCTCCCCAGGGGACGCCACAAGAGCTGTATTTTTTTATACAGAGTGGGGGCACACAGAACGACCCCAAGCAATTGATGCGTGTGTTCACAAAGAAACAAAACAAAAAACAAATGGAACCATGTGATTTTTACACAGAAACAAAATAATCCTTAATAAACAAATCTCTATTTTGGAAATCACATCCACGAGTGCCATTTCCGTTCTGGAGTCTCCTCCCCCTGCCAGTCCAGCACCCCACGCCCCTGCCTCCTTCTGGGGCGGCTCAGGCCAGCTTCTGCCAGGGACCCACTTTTCGGACCTCTGTGGCTTTTAAAAATAGAATTGAGTGGCCACATTGAGGCATGGGAGGGTTTCACAGGTAAAATAGCAGCTGTATACCAGGCCCTGTAAACACATTGTGGCATAGTGGGTTAAGCCACTGCTTGTAGCGCTGGTTCTAGTCCCCACTGCTCCTTTTCTGATCCAGCTCCCCAGCTAATATACCTGGGAAAGCAGTGGAGAAAGGCTCAATGTGCTCGGGCCACTGGCACCCACATGGGAGACCCAAAAGAAGTTCCTGGCTTCAGACTGGTCCAGCCCTGACTGTTGGTAGATGGGAGATCTCTCTGTGCAGTTCAGGCAGGCCAAGTGCCTCACACACAATTATTCCATAAGCACCTGCAATGTGGGAGTGGCCTCTGATCAGACAGACCTGAACTGAAAATCCCCAGAGCGCTAGAGCCCTCTGTAAGGGGAAGGCACTCCCCAGCCTGACTTCCGGTCACCAGAGTTTCCTGTCTGACCCCAAGTGTGCCCTCAGCTGTGACCACTTCTTGCACCCACCCACTAGGCATGCCCACCCTCCAGGGCTTCTCTTTCCAGGTAGCTCCCCAGAGGTTCCTGCTGCAGCCCCCAATCCCAAAATGAGCCCCGAAGTCTGACCTGGACTCACATATGTGTTCATTCTTTCGCTGAAACCCACTCAGCCAGTCCCAAGACGCTGCGGCACACCCTCCCAGAGCCCTGTAGCCTGAGTGAGGGGCGGGGAGCCTCAGTTTGTCCATCCAGAACCAGGAGGGCTGGCGGGGTTGGGGCAGGGCTGAAGGTCCCTTGTGAAACAGGGATTGGAGCAAGTGGCCTGCAGAGGTGATGTGGGGTGCAGGCAGGGCTCTGGGCTCCCGGTTCTTCTGTTTCCTAGGGGAAGGGTCTTGGACACCCCACTTTTCACACGCTGACAGGTCCTACCTAGTTCAACCCTCCAGGCAGGAGCGTGCCTGGAAACCTACCTGTGCCCTCAGAGGTGTCGCTTGCACTGAACGCCCCAGGGCGCCTGCTGTTCCAGCCTAGTCCGGCAGGTGGCGCCTCCTGCATGCACCTTGCGTGTGCTTGTGGGATTCTCCCAGGGTTACCAAGGAGTACCTCCTGGACCCAGTTGGGACAGTGTAACAACCCACCCAGTGGAAGTATTGGGGTTCCTTTTTTTTTTTTTTTTAAAGATTTATTTTTATTATTTTTTCATTGGAAAGGCGGATATACAGAGAGGAGAGACAGAGAGGAAGATCTTCCGTCCGATGGTTCACTCCCCAAGTGAGCGCAACGGGCCGATACTATGCCGATCCGAAGCCAGGAGCCTCTTCCGGGTCTCCCACGCGGGTGCAGGGTCCCAAAGCTTTGGGCCGTCCTCGACTGCCTTCCCGGGCCACAGGCAGGGAGCTGGAAGGGAAGCAGGGCTGCCAGGATTAGAACCGGCACCCATATGGGATCCCGGGCGTGCAAGGCGAGGACCTTTAACCACTTGCGCCGCCGCGCCGGGCCCTGGGGTTCCTTCTTACTAACACCACCAACACCACCACCATCTGTTCACGGCAGGGGAGAGTTCAAGTCCAGGTCCTGAGGCTTTATAGTTAAATGATCTTGGGTGAGCCAGTTCTCCTCTGAGCCTCAAATTGCCACATCTGTGAAATGGGTCAGAAATGACTTTTCCTTGTGGGGTTCCCTGACAGTGAAATGTCAGGGGGCCTCCATGGTAGTTAACCAAAACATAGCCTGGTCACTTAACCCCAGTGCCTAAAGGGCCCAGGTCAACACAGCAGCAAGGAACATTCTAGAAATCCCACCCCAGGAGGGTGCTGTCTGGTCTGACTGGCTGGGCAAGTCCCTTCTCCCACCTTGGTCTCAGCGTCTTTAAAATCAATGGATCAATACTCTGGTTTCTCTTCAGAGCGAATAAATCTTTTGCCTTTTAAAAGCAATGGATTGGGCCTAGCGCAATGGCATAGTGGTTAAGGTCCTCACCTTGCACGTGCCGGTATCCCATATGGGTGCCAATCCTAATCCTGGCAGCCCTGCTTCCCATCCAGCTCCCTGCTTGTGGCCTGGGAAGGCAGTAGTAGCCTTGGGTCCCTGTATGAGCATGGTATACCTGGAAGAGGTCCTGGCTCCTGGCATCAGATTGGCTCAGCTCCCGCGATTGCAGCCGCTTGGGGAGTAAACCATTGGACAGAAGATCTTCCTTTCTGTCTCTCCTCCTCTCTGTATATCGGCCTTTCAAATTAAAAAAAAATAATCTTTAAAAATAAATAAAATCAATGGATCGGGACCAAAGCTGTGGCCAAGTTGGTGAGGGAGCTGTCTGGGATGTTACATCCATGGCAGAGCACCGGTTCAAGTCCCAGCCCTTCTGCTTCTAACCCAGCTTCCTGCTCACGCGCCTGGGGAGCAGCGGAAGACGCTGAGTTCATGGGCCTGTGCCGTCCACGGGGCAGTTCTTGGCTCTGGGCTTTAGCCAGCCCCAGCCCCGGCTCTTGAGGCTGTTTGGGGGAGTTAGCCAGCTCATGGAAGATCTCTCTCTCTCTCTCTTTCTCTGTCTCTTTCTATCTCTGTGTTGGTCTGGCGCATATATATATATAGTTGTTGCTGTTGTTGTTTTAAAATCAGAGGGTCAGAGGGCCAGGTGTGTTAAGATGCCACAGGCTGCATTTCCTATCAGAGTGCCTGGGTTCAAATCCTTACTCCAGCTCCTTGTTCCATGCTAATGGCATGACCTGGGAGGCAGCCGGTGATGACTTGGTGGGAGACCCAGATGGGGCTCCTGGCTTCAGCCTGGCCCAGCCCTTGCTGCTGTTGCAGGTTTTTGAGGAGTAAGCCAGCAGAAATAGGCCAGGTGCTGCTAGAGCCAGGGAAGACCTAGAGATGCTGGGCTGAGTTTGTTTTTAAGGGGAGCCCAGAGCTACTAGGGCATGGCTAGGACCACGTTCTAGGCACCCACTTTCCTCCCTGGGGCCCCCAGCCTTCAGATGGGAGGAGGCCAGATCCCAGACCCCTGCAGCCAGCCTGGGCTCAGCCACACCCTCTGGCCACCACCCAGAGGAATGGACCTGGCAACTGGCTGTGCCCTTGGCAACGCCTCCCAAGGAGGAGGAGGAGGAAGAGGAGAAGGGCTCTCCCCTCCTCCCCCAACCTGGCCTCCGGTTTCTGCCCCCAGGGAAAATTCCAGAAGAACCTCATTGAAAGGGCCCGGCAGGGTGGGGACTACTCCGGTGTCGGGCACAAAGACTGACTCTTGCCAGTTGGGCGGAGGATAGAGGAGCTTGTGCTAAATGGAGCATGGGTGGGGCCCCAGCTACCCCGTTGACCACCTCAGACTGGTCAGTACTGGGCGGAGGAGCTGGGCAGGTTCCTTTGGCTCCCTGGGTCTGTCTCCTCTCTCATTGCTGGGAGGAGTTCATGAGCTCCACGCCCTCCACTGCGGGCAGTGCTGCGTGAGTGCTCAGTGCAAGTGCTGGCACGTGATGGCTGATTGCCGTAGTGACTGGAGGAGGCTCACATCCCCACCACATCCCTGGAAGGTAGTTCCTTGGACAAAGGGTTTTCACTCTGTGGAGCCTTGGTGTGTCCATCTGTAAAATTGGCAGGAGGAAGGGGCGGGCATGTACAGGGTTAAAGGCTGGGCTCCGCAGGGCTCCAGTCCCATAGGGTAGTTCTGGCTGCATCATCCATTGCTCAGAGTCCCCCAGGGTGGGGGGCAGCTGGACCCCAGCTCTCTCAACCTAAAGTAGAACTCCAGAGCTGGCAGGCTACCTGCTGCATAGGGTGGGAAAGAGGAGTGGCACAGGAAGAGGCAGGACGGAGGCAGGGAGGATAGGCCTGCACCCTTCTGGGCCCAGCTGGTTACAGAGGAGAAGAGAGAGACTTGGAGAGGCAGAGCCTCCTGTCCCATGGCTTATCTACAGGGGCAGAGCCACCCACTGGATGCCAGCTTCCCAGGAGGTACCCACAGGGCCTGTCACGCAAGCTGTGCCCTGCAGTCCTGCACTCTGGGGCCTCACACCACACAGCGGCAGCCAGTGTCACAGCTGGGTTTAGAAGGTTCTCATCTCCTGACAGACCCTGCTCCACCACAACACCCGCCCCTCCCGGCATTGTCTTCCACCAGGACAAGGAGCTATCTGCAGAAATGGGCTCCAGAGGAATGGAGTCCCCCCAACCCACTCCGGGTCGGCCCAGCCCCAGCAGCCAGCCCTGTCCTGGCTGCTCTCAGGGAGATGTGAGGGGCCCCCTGGCGCCTGCATTCCTCACCTCCTGGGCTGCCTGCCACCAGCTGCATGTTTGCTCCGCCTGGGACCCTGGCAGAGGGCAAAGCTCCTCTTCACCCACCACTCCCCTCTCTGGGTCTCAGTTTTCCATCTGCAGAGTAGGCCAAGTGGTCCTTCTGCCCCACAGGCTGGATGAGAGAGAGGCTCCAGCCACAACCCCCACCCCAGCTGTGCTTGAAGAGTGAACTGATTTTTTTAAAAAAGACTTATTTATTTTTATTACAAAGTTGGATATACGGAGGAGAAGAGACAGAGAGGAAGATCTTCCGTCCGATGATTCACTCCCCAAGTGACCGCAAGGGCCGGTGCTGCGCCAATCCGAAGCCGGGAACCAGGAACCTCTTCCTGGTCTCCCATACGGGTGCAGGGTCCCAAGGCTTTGGGCCATCCTTGACTGCCTTCAAAGGCCACAAGCAGGGAGCTAGATAGGAAGTGGAGCTGCCGGGATTAGAACCGGTGCCCATATGGGATCCTAGCCCGTTCAAGGTGAGGACTTTGGCTGCTAAGCTACGCCGCCGGGCCCAAAGTGAACTGATTTTTAAAAATATTTGGGGCCTGGTGTGATGGCTCAATGACTAAATCCTTACCTTGCAAGCACCAGGATCTCACATGCGCACCAGTTCGTGTCCTGGCTGCTCCACTTCCCATCCAGCTCCCTGCTTGTGACCTGGGAAAGCGGTTGAGGATGACCCAATGCCTTGGGATCCTGCACCCGCATGGGAGACCCAGAAGAGTCTGCTGGCTCCTGGCTTCAGATCAGCTCAGCTCCGGTTGTTGCTGCCACTTGGGAGTGAACCAGTGGACAGAAGACCTTCCTCTCTGTCTCTCCTCTGTGTAAATTTGCCTTTCCAATAAAAATAAATAAATCTTAAAAATTTTTTTAAATGTATGTATTTGAAAGGCAGAGTTACAAAGAGAAAGGAAGATCATCTCGCCACACCTTCCTCCCTGAATGGCCAGAACCAGGCGGGCCAGAGCCACGCGCCAGGAACTCCATCCAGGTCTCCACGTGGGTCCTTGGGTCATTTTCCACTGCCTTCCCACGTGCATCAGCAGGGAACTGGTTTGGAAGTGGAGCAGCTGGGACTCGAACCTGTACATGAGATGCTGGTGTTGCACATAGGGGCTTAACACACTGCCTCCCCACACGGACCCCTAAGTTACTGATTGTTAAGGTTTGCTTCTTTGTAAATGTTTCACACTTGGTGGTTTGAACGTGCTATTTCCAGCCCATGTTTGGCTGGCTGTCTCCCTCTCTCCCCACCAACAGTTCTGAAATTTCACTTTCTAGCAGCTCACACTCAAGGCAGCCATGGGCTTGGCAGGTTGATGGCAGTAGGAGCTGGCTCAGCGTTCGCTCTGTTTACCGTGGAGCACTCGCTGGGCTACGCAGGTGGTTGGGGCTCTCAGGGTCCCCACCTCGTGGGGGACACGGAGGACTGAGCCAAGGGGTTGGCCCTGGCTTTTTTCACAAGCAGTGCCCGTGGGAGAGAGCTGCCTGTCGTCAGAGGCATCCAAGAAACTCACCTCCAGGGAGGCGGCAAGCTTGGGCCTTGGGGTTCCCTTCCATGCCCACGGGGGAAGAGTGCGCTGCAGGGCAAAAATCTGAAGGCTTGCGCTCGCGTTCCCTGGCGGGGCGCACTGTGGAACGAATGAAAGAGTGAATGAACGAGTGGGGGAATGCACGGGGCATGACCCTAAGAGAGGGGGGCCAAGGTGCCAGTCTGAGCTCCTCTCCCAGGCTCCTGGTTGCCCAGCAAGTAAACTGAAGTCCGCTGCCGGAGCTGGAGCTGGAGCCGGGGCCGGGCGCAGAGGGTCGGCCCGCCAGCAGGTGCGGTGGAGACCGTGGGGTGGGCGTGGTGCCGGCCGGCCGGGGGCGGCGCGCGGGGTTGGAACCCGAGCCACGGGAGGAGCGACGCGAGGCCGGGCGCCGGGACTCAGGAAGCGCCGCGCTCCCCGCCCGCCGCCGGTGCCCGCTGTCCCGGAGGTGAGTGTACCCGCTGCCCGGGGCCCGGACCTGGTGGGGACGCCACCGCCCAGGGGCCCGTTGGACCCCCTCCTGGGCACGTCTCTGCGGCTCTGGCGGAGGGCCCGAGGCTCGCTCGCTGAGGTCCCGGCGTGGGGCCCGGGGCGGAGGAGGCTGGAGCAGGGCGGGCGGGGTCGGGCTGGATGTCCTTGGGCTGGGCTTGGCCGCCAGCTGGTCTCGGTTTCCTTGCCAGTCTTGCCCCCCACCCCTGGGCGCCTCTGTGGCTGAGACGCCCCAAGGCAGTGAACTTAAGATCCAGGGGGTCTGCAGCCCACCTGGGGGGCGTCCCCACTCTGGGAACTTGGCAATGAGATCGGAGGGATTTGGCCTCTGCCTGAGACAGAGGAGATTGGGTGGTGAGGCTGCCAAGGCCACTTTTGGGGGCCGTATTCCTCAAAGGGGCCCACAGACCTTTCCCAGCGCCCTGCCCAGACCCGGGTGGCTCCTGGGAGGTCCCTGAGTTGGAGGAAAGACCGCTTATGCTCCCCACTCGCTCAGAGATGCCTGCCACCCACCCAGCCACCTGGATTGAGCTTCCTGCTGGCCCAAGCCCTGACCCCTGCCTCCCCACTTGGGAAACTAAGGCCGATTTCAGCTTAGAGGTTCAACTCTCAGGACTTCCTGGTACCCCTGGCCTGAGGGGGAGCCTGGTGCCCACAGGGTGCCCTTGGGGTGGGCTGCGTGGGACTGTTCTGCCTCAGAGCCCTCCCCCATCGCCCCCACGATGTGCATGCGGGAGGGGGGCAGAGTGGTGTGCTGATGAGCCCTGAAGCCAGAAGCAGGTGTCACCTGTGAACTGTGTGCTGGGTGGCCAGCACGCACACTCAGCCGACAGAGGCAGGGCACATGCGCACACACACGGCCGCGGGGGTTCAGACCAGGTGTGCAAAAGCAGAGGGAGGGTGTGTGGAAGCAGAAATGGGATGTAGCCGTGGCCCCCTTGTGGGCCTTGGGCCAGGCAGGTGTTGGTGGGGATCACGTGTTGAGTGCAGGGGGGCCCAAGAAGAACCAGGGTACTGACTGAGTGCTGCAGGAGCCGGGAGAGGTTTGCACAAATCCATGCAGGAGTGGAAGAAAGGGCTGGCAGGTGTCAGGGACATGACAGCCATCGTCAGCCAGCGGGCCAGCCCTGACATTGTCTACTGCATGCTATTAGCCAGGCGGGACCAAGCCTGACCCAGAAGGCCCTCAGGTTCTGAGCTGGGAGAGATGCAGCAGGTTGTGTGATCTGGAAAGTTCTCGCTGGCAGTGGAATGGCAGAGATGGGGGAGGGTGGCAGACAGGTCAGGAAGCCGTCCCAGCCCCTTGGGCACCTGCCGGGTGGGGAGAGGGGCCACAGGGGGACTGCACAAGAGGGAGGCCAGCTGCTCAGTACAGGCGCACAGTAGGTGCTCAACAGACCACCAGTGCAGTCGGCCGTGGCCATCGGCTGAACACGCCTTTCAGAACAGGTCCAGGGCTCTTGGTCTCCTTCATGGCACCGTCTCCACAGAGTGGGTGTCCCTCCCCGCCATGGACTCCCCCTGACACTGCTGTATGCCTCACTTTCCCTTCCCTGAGTGAGAGGTAGCCAGGGAACAGCTCCCACCCCACCCCCACCAGCCTCTTGACACAGCAGGGTTGAGGGAGCCTGGAAAATGCTGACTTCCTGTGATCCGGGGTGCCCCGCTTCACTGATTCCTCCCCCTCCCCCGTTAAAGATTAATTTGCATCACTCAAGATAGGCGCCGTCCTGGGGCCCCCGTGGCCGCTGCTCTGGATTCAGCTCCCAGTTCAGGCTGCTCTTACAGCCACAGCCCCGTGGGGGATGTGTGCCCAGCCCTGAGCTCAACAAGCCCATGATGTTTGCATATTAATGGAGAGAGTACCCATTTTCCAGGGAGGGAATACTGAGGCCTGGAAGGGGTATGACGTCACCTGCGAAGGGTCTTTCAACAGCTGGGAATCCTGTTGGTCTTGTTTCAGAATTAATGTGTTCTCTGTCCCCTTTCTTCTCTCTATTTCTCGCCACCCCAGGTGGCCTGTCTGCTGACCCCATTTGTCAGTAGTTCAGGGTCCAGGGAGAGAGACTCTGCCACTTGGAGGTAAGCACCTGAATTGCTGAGACAGGCCTGGACTCCCGAGGGAGATGCCCGGTTTGCTCATCTGTGAAATGGGTTTGCAGGTCCCTGTTGGCAGGATGCCTTTGCCACAGGCCCCCATCCACCCAGAGAATCCTTCTGTGCCAGCAAGGGGGCAAAACCAGACTTGCACGAGGCCGCATAATATTTCCGGGCCTGGACTGAGCGCCAGGAGCTGGCATCCTTTCTCCTTTCGCCTGATTGGTTCCTGCAAACCAGAGCTTGCACCTGCCTGCCCCAAGCACCAGCTCCTGGGTCCCAGTGAGCGCCCTGACTTCTGTGGCGTCGATTTGCTCATCCATGCAGTGGACACGCTAGTGGCGCTGGCCTTGCTGAGTGGAGGCTACGGTCTTCAGCATGGCTCAGAGTGGATGTCCACCCAGAGGGGATAGGACAAGAGTGCTTGGTCCCATTTCACAGCTGTGGAAGCTGAGGTTTAGAGAAGGATGCAGTGTACCCAGGGGAGACCTGCTGGTTTGTGACAGGGCTGTACCTGGCAGCCTAAACTGAGTGACCATTGTGTCCTCAGGTCTCTGAGAACCTCAGTGGCTGACTCAGCTTCCTGCTCAAAAGGCTACCTCAAACCCAGCCCTCTTGGAGTCTGACCCAGTTCTGCCTCTCACTGCTGTGTGGCCTCAGGTAGTGACTTAACCCCTCTGTTCCTGCAGCAACCACTAAGGTTTGTTGGAACTTCACTTGGGTGGGCTTGGGGCTTTTCTATCCTGGCCTGAGCTGTCCTATGGTCCCATGTGTGCTAGCACCATGGCCCAGTGGGGATGAGGAAGGGAGATGAGCTCTCACTCCCACCGTGACTTCCTCTTTGCTGGAAGCTGGCCATTGGCTTCCTGTCGCTGGGCTCCCCTTTCTGCCGGAAGCCCCCCACCGCTGCGGGCTGGGTGACTCCCCGAGGAGGTCAGGCTGCCTCTCGGAGGGAGCCTGCTTCCTCGTTGGGAAGGGAGGGTCCCGGGAGAGCAGGCTGGACGCATAGGAAGCCCTGATGGTTGTGCCAGTGGAGAGGTCAGGGCCTTGGGGAGGCGGGCTGGGCCGGAAGGGGCTGCCTGTGTCTGCGGGTCCAGAGTGAGTAAGCCGCTGCTGCTGCTGCCTGGCTCCGTACAAAGGGCTGCTCAGTCTCCCCTGCTTCTCCGGCAGGGTGGAGTGGCCAGGGCCCTCCTACTGCTGCCGCTCCGGGTGGGCTGACCATCGGTGGCACAGCATTGATGTGTGTGTGTGTGTGTGTGTGTGTGTGTGTGTGTGTGTGTGTGTGTGTGTGTGTGTGTACACGTGTTGTGCGTGTGTGCACTTGGGGGTTGGACCCCGTGAGCTCTGGGGAGACCCTGGCGGGTGAGGATGGGGATGGTGGGCATGCGGTTGCCTGGCCTTAGGCCCAGTACAGAGATGGTGGCAAGAGAGTACCTGGAGATGAGAGGAAGGAGGGAGGGAAGGAAGGGGAAAGGGGGAGAAAGCAGAGGACAGGCAGGCAGGTTCTTGTTTGAGTGAGTGTCCTGGCTGCCCCAAGCCTCAGTTTTCCTTATCTGTGGAATGGACTCATGATGTCTGTCACCTTCACAGGTGTGTTGGATCTCGTCAGCATGGGGGCACATAGCAGGTGTTTGCTAAACTTCAGGACGGAAGGGAGGAAGCGCTCCTGCCCCTTGGTTGGAAGGAGATCTGTCTTGGACAAAGTGACTAAGCCTGTCTGGCTCCTTTTGATGGATTCGTCTATTTGTTCATTTAGCAAACACTAGGACACTTTAAATATGTCATGGAAAATAGAGCTGAAAGATTTATGGGAGCAGGTGTTGGGTCACAGTGGGTTAACAGTCACTGCTTGGGACACCCGTGCCTCCCAGCAGAGTGCCGGGGTTCAGGTCCTGCCTCGGCTTCTGGTCCAGCTTCTTACGAATGCACCTGGAAGGCAGCAGGCGATGGCCCAAGCCCTTGGGTCCAGCCTCTCATGTGGGAGACTAGGATGGAGTTCCTGGCTCCTGGCTTTGACCTGGCCCAACCCTGGCTGTGACAGACATTCGGGGTGTCTCTGTCACTCTGTCTTTCCGACCCATCGGCCCATGAGGTCAGTGTAGGGGACAGCGTGTCACTTTGCAGACACTGGTTAAGACAGCCTGTGTGTAACGAGAGTTGCCCAGCTATGGTTCCTCACTCCAGCTTCCTGCTGGCGCAGGCTCTGGGAGGCCATAGGACCCTGGCCATGCACGGGGGTGACCCAGGCTGAGTTCCCAGCTCCCAGCTCCAGCCCCTGGATGTGGCAGGTATTTGCGGGAGTGAACCAGTGAATGGAAAAAAAAAAAATGCTGACTTCTTAGTGCTGACCCTGGGTAGAAATCAGAGAAGCAGTGTCCTGTTTGTCCTAGGGTTCGGCCAAGACACGAACTCCAAGTGCTTCTGCCTGCAGCATCCCAACCCCCTTCCCTGTGCCAGCTTACCTAGTGAGTTCCACGGGGCCTAGCATTTGGAAGGGTAGTCCTTGAGAAGCCAAACTCAAGTGTATTTTTAAAAATATTTACTTATTTTTACTGGAAAGGCAGAAGTACAGAGGGGTTGGAGTCTTCTATCTACTGGTCCACTCTCCAAATGGCCACAACAGCTAGAGCTGAGCTGACCCAAAGCCAGGAGCCAGGAACCTTCTCAGGGTCTCCCACAGGGGCCTAAGGACTTGGGCCATCCTCTGCTGCTTTCCCAGCCCATAAGCAGGGAGCTGGATGGGAAGCTGAGCAGCAGGGACATGAATCGGAGCCCATGGGGGTTGTCAGCACTGCAAGTGGAGTCTTAACCTACTGTGCCACAGCAGCAGTCCCTCTAATGGCTTTTAAAAGCAGATAGTTG